TTGGCTTGGACTCGCCATAGAAACCATTATCCTTGCTGCCAAATATCTTTGCTCACATATCCTTCGCTCACCACATACTAAGCAATCTTTTGGTTAAGTTAGTGAATCTAAATTGTAGGCGAACTAATGATATGATACCATTGTATAGGTAGTAAGTAGTAACTAGCTTATTCTTTCATCTATTGATTGTAACTATCATTTTTGAAACTCTTTTCCAATTGTTACAGGAAGTCCTCAAACCCCTAGGACCAAATTTTGCTTTCCAACTTTTGGTATCTTTTAAGCACGTGAAGAAATTGTGTAATCCCTGCAGCAGGGATTTGTTGTTTTGAGTGGTGTAAGTAGTGTATGCTAGCAGGAGAATGTTTTAACCAGTTAAACGAGCTAAAATGATGATAATGTATTGCAAAAAAGGTATACCTTATTATTAATGCAAAGAATGACCAGATAACTTCAAACTCATTTCTTATGGAAAAACCAGATACCCCTACTAAAGTAATGACAAAGAAGACGAATTCATCCGACCAACGGGTCGGGTAAAAGCTAGTGGATTCTAATAGACTAACTGCAAACCATAAAATAAAAGAATTGAATGAGTCTGACCTACACGGAATTTGGCCATCAAGTAAAACAAATGAACATCATGGGTTTGTCATTCTAAAACAAGTCATTTTCTCTAGCATAATATATATTATGCTATTATTTTATATCTTAGTGGCTAAAATATAATGTATTTTAAAGTTATTCAATGATTCAACCTCGACCAACCCAATTAGTCCAATTTTCATCATTTCATATATATATTATGTAATTATTTGATATCATAATGATTAAATTATAGTGTATTTTATAAGGAATCGTTTGGTATTTGTTAGTAAAACACTAAATAGAAAGATCTATTTGATTGTTTTTAACATTAAAACGATCCTAAACATTTTCCGTTTCCTTTCGAATTTCTATGGTTTTATTCTCGAATTAGTGATGTGCAAGTGGCGAATTGCAATCATCTCTTTTCTTTCACTATTTTTTATTTTCAAATAGAAAGTTTAAAAGTAAAGAATAATTAGAGTTTGGCATGAGTCGGTCAAACATGCTGAATTTCAAGTTTTGGCCCGTTTTGATCAAGTCTAACTTTTAATTACTTGGTTCCCTGATGCCCAATAAAAATCTCAATCCAAACCAGTTTGGCAGGCGAGTCCGTGTTTACCACCATTTTCTAGGGATACAGGAACGACCGTTCCTATCCCAAATCGTGTTGTTCGTTCTTGATTTCTTTAGATTTTATCATGGCCTGGTAAAAAACAGAAAACACAATGGCGACAAGATTAAAGTTTTATAAAGCAAATTAATCGGTCAACGAGCCAAGAAAAAGCTAGCAACAATAAGCTATACACCCTATTACATTATCAAATTTCATACCTCACCTTCCTCCGCCCAATTGGCCGGGGCCCACGCTAGTTTTTTTGTACGCTTTTGCCAATATCTCTTTTTTTGGTAATAGGACGGAGCGAGGCGGCGCTCCAACCATTTAATTTAGAACAATTCTAGGGGACTGAATGTCAGTATATTATGAAGCAACAAGTAATTTAACGACGAAATCGGAGAAGTAATGACGCCCACACTGTACGGATGCCCCATCGAGGCTAGAAAGTCCACAACAACGTTAGCCTCCCTAAGCACATGTTTGATGACTGCCTTCCATTCTCTACCCAGCAGCTGACGAATCTGAAAAACCAGGTTACAGTGTGGACTTCCTTCGAATGCACTTTGAATCAACTCCATTGCACCTCGAGAATCCGTCTACACCTCCACTTGCCTTGCCCGTCATCCCAAGCAATCTTCAACCCGATGTTGATTCCCATTAGCTCCGCTCATGTGATAGAGCACCCCCCCAGGTTGGCGGTGAAAGCCTGTACTAGCCTTCCTTCATCTCTATGAATCACACCTCACGCACCTGCACTTCTGATTCGGGTCCAAATGTACACATTTTACCCCTCACTTCTTATTTGTTATGCTTAGTAGATCACCGTCCCTCGACCTATTTTATGCTAGGTTATGCTTGTTTTGATATATTTTAGGTCCTAGCACGTGTGAAAGGGTCAAGGACGAGTTTCGGGATGATTGGAGGTCAAAAAGCGCAAAAAAAACCGAAGAAAAGTCCAAAGTCCCCCATGACAATTGCCCCGTGACCGTGAAGCGCAGGCTTCCAGGTTTCGACGCTGCAGATCGGACGAGATGGACCTCCAGTTTTTTGGTTGAAGAGGAAGCGTGGTGGGAAGATTCTTCATCGGAATCCAACGTCGGCATCCTTTCCTCGCCCATCTTTCTTCCCCGCGCCGATGCTTCAGGAGAGATATCTGCAACTTCATAAGGGTGTTCAAATGGTTACCTTGGCAATAATTAAACCAATTAAGCCTAAATTTCATTAACCATGAAATAAAATGTATTAACCAAACCGTCCAAATTAACATGAAAACAAAATTAACCAAACCAAAGTTTAATTGGTTTAGTTAATCGGATAATCGGATTAACCAGATAGCATAACATTACATGAAAACAAACATAAGCTATCATTTTATATAAGTAATAATAATTAGACTAACCATCCATAATTATCATCGTCATTCGAGGTATACATCATTCATCACCTCTGCACCTAATATAGGTAGCTTACAACAAACCCCTTAACATAAATACATACCAATACCTCATCAAGAAGTTAAAGCCCTCTTACAAAACACTTAAACTATACATAGTTTGAGGTGGTTGTCATGGTATTGTACATAATCCTAAAATCTAGTAGTTGTCCAAAATGTTTTGATCCATAGTAAATATAGACAGACCCATTTAATTTTTCATCCATAATGTTTTGGTTTGTTGTGCACATGGAAATAAAATAAGGAGTCACGAAAGTTTGGTTTGGTTGGTTGCATGAAAGTATAAATAATTTTGTATATTAGGTGTATCATTAATTGGTTAATTGGTTTCATTGATTAGCAGTGTTGAAACCAAACCAAACCATCTAAACCAAATAAGCTAAATTGTTTAACCAAACCAATCAATTATCCAAATTAACCAAACCAAATTAACCGAATGCTATCGGTTAATATGGTTACCACGGTAACCAATTCGTTTGAACACCCTTGGCTTCCCAGGTCTTGTTCTTTGAGTTTCTTTGGTCATCAAGTCGAAAAAAGCCAGGCCAAAGCAACAATTTTCCCATATCCATGTAGTTGCAGAATAGGGCGAGCTAGATCTCAACACCAGTGTTTCATCGCCGGCTCCTCTGCCCCTTTTTTGTCGCCTCCCGGCTTTTCTATCAACTCTGGCGAAGACAGACAATGGAACCTCTGTTGGCTATTGCATCTGCAATTTCTTCCTCCCGCTGATAATTATTTTTGTAAATTAATTTTTATTAAATAAGTAATATAATAAATCATATAGACAAGTAAGTGGAATGATAAGGTGAAAAAATACATTTATTTTTAATTTCTTAAAAATTTCCACGTCATATAGTTAACGGTCAAACTTTATAGTTGACTGCCCCGTAGGACAAATTTAACGGAGTGTAACGGCCGGTGACTAACGGTGAAACGATTCGTAAAATTAGTGGCGAATAAGAATTTTTTTTTATAATTTGGACAACAAATGTAAAAAAATTGTATAATTTGAGTGACCAATGTAATTTAGCAATTTTTAATTTAAAATGTGGCGTGGCGATTACGTGGCATTGACGAGACTAGGTGGACACGACATGTCATCCAAGTGACATCCACATTAGTCTAACATTCATTTAACTTACTGAGGGTTAAAGTATTTGAGGGAAAACCCTAAATTAGTCAAACAAGTTTGAAAATTGTGGCTATTTATATGTGTTTTTTAAAAATGAGTATTATTCTAATTATGGTTATGTAAATGTATTTTTCCTTTATTTTTGACAAATAATTTGGGCTAAATTGCAAGTTTGGTCACTAGAATTACTCAAAAATTTCACGTTTGCCACTGAAATCAATTTATTCCATCCGTAGTCACTTAAATTAAGTTAACAGTTCAAGTTTGGTCACTGGCCGTTAATCTCCGTTAACTTTTGCTGATGTGGCGGTCAACTCTTATAGTTGACCGTTAAATGAGTGACGTGACAATTAAAATAATAATAAAAATAAAATTTAATTATTTCATATTTTCCACCTAATTATTTTAAAAATTTTAAAACAAAACCTAACTTGCCGCTAACTTCTCTTCGGTCACCGGGTTGAGAAGGTTAACGTTGTTGCCGACGGGGCCGAAGGAGGACCAACCAGCCGTCGCTGGAGCTCACGCTACGACTGGTCCCTATGTTTGCGAACGAGGCGGCCGAGTTCGCCGCCGCGATGATCGAAGGAGGGCGTGCGGTCCAGATCGGGGAAGAAGCGATGGCCGATGGGGTGGCCCACAACGAGTTTGTGGTGTTAGTGGTGCCGTCACGGCGACCTCGAGAAGAACGTAGTTTCGGAAATGAGAGGATGCCTGGAGTGCTGCGGCGGCAGCGGTTGTGGGGGAGGAGGTTTTTCTTGGACCCAGATTTCGAAATCGTTCCTGAAGCTTACCTGTCAAAATGGTACACGGCCACAAGCAAGGTCTACGCTGTGACCAGGGCCTGGAGATTGTTGTTGAGGAAGATAGAGTAGAAACGGTTGAGCCTGGTAAGAGGGGATGAGATTGAGTTGTGGAGCTGAGGTAGGTAGATAGATAGATGAATACGTACAATGGGGCAAAATGGGAAACTCTTAAACAAACAAATGCCGTCTCCACTTCCATTTCCATCCCAAAAGTCATATTCTCCACCATCCATTCAATTCCTTCCTTGTGGCCGCAAACCAAACAAGATCCCTCCACCGTCCACAACCCCAATTTCTTCCTTCTCAGTCTCTCTATCTTTAGGGTTTTCCAATTCGGTTATCTGCCATCAGTTAATTAATTTGTGCAAAAGACAATATATTGATAGATCTCAAACCAGCTGTGTGGAAGCCTCCATTGGCTCTCCTCCTTTGCTGCGGCCAAGAAATATCGCACCTTTTTCACTCTCCGAGGTGAGATGCGTGGAGGGTTGTTGTTTATACTCATCTGATTTTTAGGGTTCTTTCCTTCCTTCTTTCTTGGTTGACTTGAAGCAAATCTTTTTATAGTGCCTAAGTTGGTCAAAGATGGTGAGGGGGAAGGTGGAGCTGAGGAAGATCGAGAACGCAGCGAGTAGGCAGGTGACGTTCTCGAAGCCGAAGTATCAAGTATGGGCTGCTCAAGAAAGCTCACGTGATGTCCGTATTCTGCGACGGCGAGGTTGCAGTCATCGTCTTCTCCCGGCGCGGGAAGCTCTCCGAGTTCTCTAATCACGAGTAAGCTAATGCTATTTAGGATTTTCTTTTTTTAATTTTTAAAATAATTAGGTGGAAAATAAAAAATAATTAAATTTTATTTTTTATTATTATTTTAACTGCCACGTCACTCATTTAACGGTCAACTATAAAAGTTGACCGCCACATCAGCAAAAGTTAACGTTGACTAACGGTCAGTGACCAAACTTGAACTGTTAACTCAATTTAAGTGATTACGGATGAAATAAATTAATTTCAGTGGCAAACGTGAAATTTTTGAGTAATTCTAGTGACCAAACTTGCAATTTAGCCAATAAGCGATCTCTGATCTCTCTCTTTCCTCCTAAATTCACTCCACATTCTCAGTCTTTGTCTTCGGCTCCTCCGTCGATCTCCCTCTCCCTCTCCCTCTCTCTCCGTCTCTCCGATCGCCATGCCAAATCCCCACCATCTCCACGCGCCGCTGCGGCCGTCGCCGTCTTCTTCCTCGTCCGCACAATCTTTAGCCTCCAAGCTGATCCTTCTGCTCACAGTCCTCCCTCTCTCTCTGGCAGCTTTGGCCTTCATTCTACAATGGAAGGGAGACGGAGGAGGACTCCTAACCGATCCGGCTTCCGCCACTGCTCGTTGGGCTCCACAGGGTTCTCATAACAACCACGAGGTGTTTCCTGGGATGGAAGCCTCCGCTGCGTCTCTGCTGTCTCCTAAACCACATCAATCGTCCGATTGTTTCAGTCTTGCAAGGAGCGGGTCTCCATCATTTCCTTATTTTCGTGATTGGAAGTTCGATTTCGAAGCTAATCTAAGGCCTAAGGTATATTCATTTAGTAATCCATTCTTTGTGGCTTCTAATCTGTGGTTTGGCCTGTTTGTGTGTCTTTAATGTGTTTCAGCGATCTGAGTTGTGATGTAAATTCTTTTAGTTTACTTTGCGGTATGTTATAGTTGATTTGTTTGAATGAGCTGGATCCGCACCAAAGCTATGCTGTTTTTTTCCGTATACTCAGCATTCAATTTGATGTTGACAAATGATGCTTTTGACTCATGGCGGCTTTTGCCGTATGCTGTTTGGCTTGATGTCTAGTGTGCTTAACTTTGGGCATCTGCTAGCGGGGTCTATATCCAAGAATTTCCCTTCTGTTTGGTTTACCTTGTCTTTCTTGATGCTCTTATTAATTTATTGCCCTTTGGTTTCATGGTAGTATATCTTGGTATTGGTTGGATATATGCACTTGAAGAGCTAAAAAAGTTCATCTTGCTGGAGGAAGTTGAGAGTTGAGGCAATTCCTTAGTTTAGATGTTTCCTTTACTTCTCCTATAATCTCTCCTTTTTAGTCCTGTCTATCAATGGGTGTCTAGAGTGGAGGATTTAGATTAAGTTCAAAGCTCTCTCCATTATGGTATATTTCGTGTTTCTCATAATGCAGATCTGTGTAACTACAAGTACATCAGCCAGCCTAGATCAAATTTTGCCTTGGATGTTCTATCACAAGGTTATTGGGGTGTCAACATTTTACCTGTTTGTAGAAGGGAAAGCAGCCTCACCAGGCGTATCTAAAGTTCTTGAATCTATTCCTGTAAGTTATTCTGATTTTGTATTTCTTGTCAGGATCAGTTTTTCATAACTCGTTGGATTTGCAAGGGTTTACTCTGACTTTTTTTCTTCCAATAACTTGTTATTGAATGATTATGGAAATATGTGCAGGGAGTGAAAGTGATTTACAGAACAAAAGAGCTGGAGGAGCAACAAGCGAGAAGGTGGGTGGATTTTGCTCAGCAGAGATCAAGTGATGCAATGAATAACATATGTGGACTTCTAAATTGAACAAATAGAATGTTCCACAAGTTTCCTTCTTTCCCTAGTATTTTCTCATACCAGTTGTTTTCCCCTTTGAATAGTAACGTCTTTTTCATATGGCTTTTTTGGTAAGGAATTAATGTTTAAATACATACTGGCCAGGAATATCTCATAATTGTTTGTTTGCTTGCTAACCTTCTAACACTGTTACATCTGGACCTGCATGTCTGATTCATAATGAGTGTGTTTGATGTTTTCAAGTAGGTGTCTTGCCTTTTTCGTTGCTCACTCTGTTTTTCTTGTTCTGCTTCCCTTCAGCCGTATTTGGAATGAGACATGGCTGTCAAGTTTCTTTTACAAACCATGCAACTATGAGTTGTTTGTTAAACAATCTCTCAACATGGAGATGGCTATTGTGATGGCCAGGGTATGTACTTGCAGCGTTGTATTAAATATTGGTACCTTTACTTGACCATAACAGATTCCTTTTTTCTTTATTTACTTAGTCTCTCAATTCTCAAATATTAGGATGCAGGTATGGATTGGATACTTCATCTCGATACTGATGAACTCATACACCCTGCTGGTTCTAGTGAATATTCTTTGAGGCAGTTACTTCTTGATGTTCCGGGTGATGTGGATATGGTTGTCTTCCCAAACTATGTGAGTGACTTGTTAGGTTTAATTTTTTTGGTTGCACATATTAGGAGAGTCTGTTCTACATGCCAATACCTCTCTCTGTCTCTGTTCTAAATGGCAATACCCATCTCTCTCATTTTAGATGATAGAGTTGCTGTTGTATTTCAGGAGAGCAGTGTTGAACGAGATGATGTCAAAGACCCTTTTAGTGAGGTAAACGCTTGTCTCGTACCTGTTGTCAATTCTATGAAAACTGTTTGGTTAACTTTTTGTTAATCTTTAACTTTTTTTTTTTTTTGTGATTTACATTTACTGTCTTAAGAAAGCATGATATTGCATGGAGTCTGATGCCCATGTCTTAAAACAGGTTTCGATGTTCAAGAAAAATTATGACCACCTACCCAAGGATATATATTTTGGCATGTACAAGGAATCTACTCGTGGTAATCCCAATTACTTCTTGACTTATGGAAATGGGAAATCTGTTGCTAGAGTTCAGGAACATCTTCGACCAAATGGTGCACATAGATGGCACAATTATATGAAAACTCCCAGGTGTGTTGACCATATTAGTTATTTGGAATCATGTGGGTTCATGTGTTTCTGCCCATCTAGCTTGCATATCAATCACTGGCACATATGTATTTTTTATTGGACGTGCAAGTCAAATACCTTCATTCTATTGTTGGAAGTCTTTGACATGGTGTTGGTGTCAATTTCAGCTGCTTGCTACTTTGAATTATGACATTGTTGTCTTGGTTGATTGACTGAATAATCATTCTTTCTTTATTTAAGCGAGGTAAAATTGGAGGAGGCTGCAGTGCTGCATTATACTTACGCCAAATTTTCAGACTTGACATCTAGACGTGATCGATGTGGCTGTAAACCAACAAAAGATGACGTGAAAAGATGCTTTATGTTGGAGTTCGACAGATCTGTGAGTGGATGGGTTGTATTTATTGGCTGATTGTCTCAGTGTTGGTCCTTTATCAATATGTTACGAGTTGATTTAAAGTGAAACATATTGCAGTGGTTTGTTCTTGACGATCTTGTCTGACAAAGTAAAATTTTCTTATTGAAGGCATTCATTATAGCTTCTACTGCAACTGAGGAAGAAATGAGAAATTGGTAAGTGTTGAGTGGGTAACTTTTTTATTTTCTTTGATCTCACAGAAGAGAAAGTAGCAACATTCTTATGTACTATTTGCATCAGGTATCGTGAACATGTTGTTTGGGGTGACAAGGATCTGAAGCTGAAACTCTTGAGGAAGGGCATTTTAACTCGCATTTATGCTCCCATGGTAAGCGTTACTGGGAAAAATCATTGTACTATGTCATATGATACTAGAAATTAGATTTTGAAAGGAACCTTGGACTCAGTCCCCGACCTATCATTTGACCAAGCAATGAATCGAAATGGATAACAAAATATAAGTAATAGAATAGACAGTATAAATCAGTTTCATACTTTAATAGATTGATGTTGGAAGACTCTTTTATATCAGATTCATCTTTCTAAAGCCCAGATTCGGTTAGTTTCTTTGAATGCTTCAATTTTCTATGTGTGAATGCTGCTTAAGGGTGTAAATGGCTTGTTTGTTCAGGCAATAATACAGGGTCTTAAGGAGTCTGGTGTCTATAGCTCTATCATTGCATCAGCCCCATCTATTCTTTCAAAGGTTGAGAGTGGCAACGCATCAAGAGTCTCTGAAACACTACCCTCAAACAAGATCAGGAAAAGCAGCACACTGGATCAGGCAACTGCTAGGAAAGTGTTGACATTTGAGGCTAATGCATTCCATGAAGCAGCTGTCCCTCCACTACCTCCTCCTGCAGCAATTGATGATTTGGTACTTGTGGAAAAAGCTTGATCTGTTTTCTAGTTCATATGCTTGCTCTTTTGGCCCTGTCCAGAAGATGATTTAGTTTGCTGTTCAAGGGAAGAATCATGGTTGGAAAGAACGAGCAACGGAGAGGGATTGTGTGTTGCAACTGTATGTATTTGCTTTAGTTGGTTGGTTCTTCCCGATCATTATCCAAATCGCACTTGTGTGCATGCAGAAGAGGTACTGGATTCATCCGTTCTACTGGGTCTCAGCCTGATTCTTCCGACTGGAGAGACTCGGTGTACCATTGTTTTGTACAGCAAGCAAGAGTGTTCTGGTAGATTAAACATATTACCTTTGTAATAGCTAGGAAAATCATTCTTTTGACATTTGGTACGAGTGATATATGAGGTAAATGCCATTAGGTCCAAACTTAAACAAAACAGCCATTTGTATTCTATTCCAACACCAACGAACAGAAATGACGCAATTTCTCAGTTCTTTCTCCTGCCAATTTCACCATCCAATATGGCATGCCTTGTTAACACGATCTCCTTAACAAGATTCCTGTAAGTAAATGGCCTAACTGCGGCTCTCAAGAACAGTTCAGGAGGAATTTTACTCTTCTTAATCCTCTTCCTCCATCTACCAATTCCAGCAATCTTCCATTCTTCTGCACTAACTTTGGCTCTCACTCCTCTGAGGGACCTCTCATCTCCAACTCCATCTACTTTTTCATCATCCTCGTCACTTGCCTCTTCACTTGCCTGAGGTTCCATGGATTTCAGCTGCCTACTGTAGAGTGCATTAGTCCTCTTCACACTCTCTTTCACAATCTCCTCCATTGCTTCTCCACTACTCACTGCTTTGCGAAATTTCTCCTCCCAATAGTTTGGATTCTCCTCCTCCTCCTCCTCCTCATCTTCTTCTTCTTCAGCAGACTCATCATCTCCTTCATCCGATTCATGAGCTCCATCTTCCATCTCCATAATCGTATCCTCGCTATCATCTTCTATCCATTCAGTGAACTCTAGATCATTTGTATCATTATAGTTCCCATCTTTTTCCTCCCCTTCATCTGGTGCATCACATCCCAGTTCCATCTCCTCTAACTTGGCCTTCCATTCTTTTGTGTAAGGATGCAACAGCTGTAAAGGATGATTCTTTAAGAGGAATTCCAAACATCCCAATTTCCTCTCATCACTCAACTTCTCAAAAGCCTTCACCACATCATCCACATATGCCTTCTGGTTAATCCTCACAATCTTGCACAACCCTTCGAAATACGTCACAAAAGTAGCTGCTCCATCTTCACTTTTCAGCTCAAACAAGCAATCCTTCTCTGTTTCAGGGTCCAAAAGTGGCAGCAGAGCTTTGAGAAACTCCTCCTGGGGCTCAAATCTACACTGGAAAACAGGTCTTTTCACGTACACGATATCTGGCCTGAACCAGCTAGCACATCGGGCAATCAATTTCCGAGCTTTGTTGCCTAACCTCCCCATCAAATTCCACTTATCCACCCTCTGCTCTTTGCTTGCTTGAACCACAATCTCACTCACCAATGTCCACTGCTGCCATGGAAGCTCACTCAATCTCCACCTAGGGTGCCTCACAAACACCCAGTACCTTCTAAGGCCGACATCTTTGTCCAATTCATCTAGCCTCTGGCCGAAATCCACGTTCATATCATGCTGCTCTATATGCTCCCAATCCTCCTGGCTCTTCGTCTCGCTGTACATGGTAACGCATTCATCAGTAATCGTCCCTCTGATGGGCTCCCCGATGACTACCCCACGCCATGAGTAAGGACCGAACTCTCCGTACTTGTACCAGTCGTACGGGTGCTTCAGATTGGGATCGTCCTTGTCCATGAACCGGACCATCCGATCGTACCCGAGCCCCATCATGTTGAGCTCGTCCTCGGTGAAGTTGTCCGGGTGGTTGTTGTGGGAACCCTTGAGCTTGTAGAAGTTGGACTCTGCTATCTTCCAAGTTTTCCGCCGCGCGCTCTGTTTGATTTTCCGGCGGACCTCCGCGTTCCCTTCAATTCGGCCAGTGGACGGCCCCCCTGGTTTCTTCTTGCTCCGGCCGGCGAATGCCCGGACTTCTCGCCTTTGAGATGCATTTCGCCAGGCTCGGTCTTGAAGGGATAGACAGATTATTGGGAGAAAGGAGGAATAAGAAGCTGTTAGAGTCCGGGTTTTCGCGGATAGAAGAAAGGGGTTGAAGGTGGGGTTTAGGGTTTTGGAGAAGCTGAGCTCCATTTCCGCTTCCAATTTTGAAGTGGCACAATAGCCTACCCATCGGCCAAAGTTGGATGGTTATATATATATATATATATATATATATATATATATATATAGTGACGTATTCGGTGCACCCACTTTTTCGGGTGCACTCAGTGCACCCGCCTCATAATTGTCATTCTAACCATGCGATTCATGTCAAAACGGTATCAATTGTTGCTTATGATATTATGAACAAGAAGCACATGAATTTGAAAAAAATTCATTCAAAATTTACTTTAATTTGAAGGATTTAGGGTTTAGGGATTTAGGGTTTAGGGATTTAGGGTTAGGGTTTAGGTTTATAATTTGGGATTTTGGGTTGGGATTCAAAATTGAAGGTTAAGGGGTTAGGGTAATGGATTGATTTGTTATGATTCTATGTCATATCATCATATTATATTGAGAGTACTAATTAAAGTTCAAAATTTGAAGTATTTTGGACGCTTTTAGAGTTGGGTGCACTGAGTGCACCCAAAAAAGTGAGTGCACCGAAGTAGCCACCATATATATATATATATATATATATATAAAATACCTCGGGTCGGGTGCTTTGAGAATTGGAGTAGACATACTACTTAACTTTGAATAGAGCGTCGGGTACCACTAAAGTTGCCAAAACGTGCATTCGTCTACTTTTCCATCAAACCCTTGTGCACCTATCAGGTCGACCTCAATAGTAAGAGGTCGACCGCATGCACACCGTATCTGTATTGGATAAGGATTCCACTAGCAGAAAGGTTCCACAATTGGACAAGAAAACGAATTGGGTCGACCCATTCACGTCCTAAATCTCTATAAATACGAAGAAAATGTGGATGAGGGAGAGAGGGGACATGAGTAGGAACTCGAAGATTTTAGATTGTGTGTTTTTATTGTTAAGTGGTCAAAACAATTGTTGATTGTTATTTTGTTGCTTTAGTTATTTTTATGTGTGAACAATTATGATTTCTGTTTTATTGTATTTCTTGTTAGTTTGTTTAGTTGTTATGCTATGAATTGATGAGTCATTGTTATCATTATTTATGACTATTTATGATGGTTTGAAACATAATTTATACGAGCAAAAGAACCACACAAATGGACATACATAAGCAAAAAAGACACGGGGCATAGGCTGACTTTCTTGTATTCGGTCGACCTCGTACCGGATTAGGTCGACCTCGAAACCAACACTTGATCTTCATTTTACGTCAAATGATTGAACATATTGATAGAACACTTATCTTCTATCTGGTCGACCTCTTTCCTTATCTGGTCGACCATTTTGTTAATGACTGCCATCAAGTGGTCGACCTATATACCTTTACGGTCGGCCATGTTGTTTCTAACGCCAACGAAATGGCCGACCGAGGTTTTATTCTGGTCGACCAAAAATAACAACTTAAACTAAGTGCGGTCGACCAGGTGGTCGTTGAGGTCGACCGCAATGCTTTCTCGTGCTGCCCAAATTAGTCAATTCGGCCGACCGCCTTCAGGATTAGGTCGACCGAAAAGTCCATGTCACGGTGACATGCATGTCATAGTAGGCATACCCTATCTAATATAATAATTAAAAAACATTCTAAACATATTGTTGCTAGAACGATTAATCAAAAATTTTCAATAAAATAGATATATTAGTAAAAATAGTAAACGAATATCAAGAAGAATAATAAATATGCTAGAATATAATAATAAATTTTTAAAATAAATATTGGAATATCTATTTAAACCCCATAAGCACCATTAGAAATAGTTAAAATAGTTTCATCAAAACAAAATAGTTAAAATAGAACCTAATCGATCATCAATACATCACAATAAAAAAAAAGGATAAATGAAACACAATCATAAAGAATTAAAAATATTTCAATAATTGAAAAAATTTAATGTAGAAAAGAAAATATGACTATAAAAGCTATAACATTGTTTAGTTACAACATTCATCGAATAATTCAATTATTAGAACAGATAATGATAATTGAAAATAATTATAATGATAATTGATTCTAAAATTTCTATTTAAAAATTGGTTTGATATCAAGTATTCAAAAGAGGATTCTAACTAAACAATAAAATATAGTATTTTTCATAAGTCCAAGTGATTTTTTTTACAATAAGAAAAGTAGAAGGACCAATTATGAAATTTAGTAAATGGAATATTATGTTAACTTTAACGGAATGAACTTAACAGTAAACTTAAGTGGTACCGAGTGCACATATAATAGAGTTCAGCGGTATCCGACGCCCTATTCAAACTCAGTGGTATGCCTACTCCAATTCTCAACTTTTGTAATAAGATGTGCCCCTGCCTTTATATGATAACAAGATCGGTCGACTGAACCCCAATAGAGTTCTGATACAACCAGTAGAGTAGCATACTACTCGGCACAGTGATATCGTGATAACCAATAGGCAAATAATGACCAAGATTGTCCAAGTAATCGGCGACAACATTTGCCTCTCTATACACGTGGACAATGCAAACCTGTCAATCCCAGGCCATCCATCGACGGAATCTCCGCGATACTCGTGTAGTGAAGATGATGAGGCGTGGCTTTCTCTAGATCTAAATGAAAGAAAAAATGACACAATATAAAGAATAAGATTATGATTTGAATTTTTAAAAAGGGAATCCTCCGGAACCACATGAATCTTTAGTTAGAATGGGATTCCAAGTGAGCACCTATAAGAGCCATAGCGGTAGATGAATCGGTCTGCAGGATAACCTTCATAACTCCTGCCTCCCATGTGAGCTTAAGCCCATGAACAATCCTTGCTAACTCTCCCCTAGTGATTGAACCCCCCCCCCCCCCCCCCCCCCCAAGGTTCACAGTGAAAGCTGAGATGAAGCGGTGGTCGTCTCCCCGCACGAATCCTCCTGTCGCTGAGCTAGAAGGAGAGTGAATAACAGATTCGTTTGTATTGAGGCAGGCACACCCTGCCTGAGGTGGTTGCCAACTGATAAGTCTCGGCTGTCAATCGGAGTCCCTCGACTTTGATGATCTTACTCTCTTTCCCTAAGGCGTTTAGGATCTGTTGCTTCAATTATGCAGCATGATCACTTCGATCCATGCAGATTGTTGTCAATGGTTAGCACATGTCAACAACTATCCCATCTTAAGCCAAGTTTAAACTAAGATGGCATTGTCGTATAGTGGTAATCAATGTCGTATTTTACTTGGGTCCTGGTACCCTAGCCTACTTCCACCTAGTTGCTAATTAGTTAATCGGTTTTGGAGGGTTGAGTGAAGGATTTGAGGATATAACTAGACTATAGATCAATCAAAGCTAAAAGCAGGTATTTCGGGGAACTGATTTGTGTCCAAATGCACACATTTTACCCCTCATTTCTTGTCCGTTTTGCTTAGTAAATCACCGTCCCTCGACCTATTTTACGCTAGGTTGTGTTTGTTTTGATATATTCCAGGTCCTAGTACGTGTGGGAAGGTCGAGGACGAGTTTCGGGTCAATTGGAGGTCGAAAAGCGCGGAAAAGTGAAAAATGCCACCGTTATAATTGCCCCGTGACCATGAACTGGCTGGGTTCCAGAGCCATTCCAGAGGTTAGTGACACCAAGTCAGTTCACGGTGATAAGACCGTGAACTTCAGCTCTAGACCGTGAAGTGTTGTAGTGAAACGGCGCGAATTGGTTCGAGTTCACGGTCCAGGCTTTGAGTTCACGATCGTGAACTCAGACCGTGAGCAACCTTCGATCTAGGTATAAAAGGCAGCAACAGAAGGAAGAAAGGGGGAGCTGGTTTTTGGGAGAGGAAATAGTTTCTTTCTCTAGGGTTTCAACCCAAAACACCAAAGGGGAGTTCTAGAGAGAGAGAGAGGGAGAGTGCCTGAGTGATCTGGGAGCTTAATTCGAGGCTTGGGTTGATCTTGAAGACAAGGATTTAAACCTAGAAGAAGAAGATCATGGGCTCCAATTTGTAATTTCTCTCTTCTCTCTCTAGAAACTCACCTTCTTCTCTTGGTTTAAGAACCCTAAGTCTAGATTTGGGTTTAATGTTGATGTATGTGACACATTCCATGTTTGATTGATGATTTTACTTAATTGATGGATGTTTTCATGAATTACATGAGTTGGGTTTCCATTTTCATGTATTGAGCTTTTGACCTAGGAGGGAGAAAATCCCCTTAGAGCCCATTATTGGCGTCCTTGGGTCACTCCTCACCCTATATCGTCCGGGTAATCCCCGAGGGAGTCGATGCCATCAATCTCCTACGATATAGAGTTGCCCTAGGTTGATTAGACCCTACCACATTCATCGATTCGCCGTTTCGTGTCATTCCCGAGAGAGTCTATCTCCTAACGGTATAGTAATTGAGTCAATCGAGCTTTTGACCTAGGAGGGAAACAATTCACCACCCCATATCGTCCGGGCAATCCTCGAGGGAGTCGATTGGATCGATCTCCTACGATATGGGGGTGACCCCCCTAGGTTGAATAGGGCTTCTACCCATCCATCACTTCATCGTTCCGGGTCCGTCCTGAGGGAGTTCATCTCCTAACAGTAGGATAGTGGGTCGATCAAACTAGGAGGATACACAACATCGTTCCAAAGGTCGGAAATAGGGGGATTCAACCCAAGGGAGCACCAAACCTTGTAAGTATTTAGGTTAGTGGTTAGTCTAGATTAGTTAGCTTAGTTTTCCTAATCACTAGGTTGGCTAGATAACGAACCCTAAACCTGAAGTAGGGTAAGCCTAGATCCCCGGGGTATGATAAATTCTTATTGCTTGCTTGCCCTATGCTGCACCTGGTCGTCGGTTATACTTGGCCGGCGATTGTGATTATCTAGTTAGATAGAGTCAGTTACTATGCATGTATAGATACTTAGGGTTATCGAATGTGGTAAGTGAGCTCTTTTCCGTGGGCTTTCATGGTTATATATCCACACGCCTCCGAGTACGCCTCCCCTAAAGCCATATATAGTCACCTCGATCTAGACTATCGTATATAGGGCATTAAGGTTATGGATCATTTTAATGGACACAATCCGCCGTTCGCACCGATGTT